TGTCTCAAATGTCCCTAATGACATCGAAAGTCGCTAATCCAACTAGAAACTACAGCTTTCCCACATGCTTGACAATGGTTACTTATGTTAGGGGAAAGTAGGTCAAGATGGACACAGCAAGAAACATTGACAATTTTTGCTTTAAATAAAACATCTTTTAAGAATAAATTTAGCGCTGCATACTTTTAACATGAACAAATTTCTACATTTAGTTTATGATAATAGGCTGTAGTTTTTTTTATATGTTCTACAAAGATTTTGTGATTAAAAGCAGCATTTACACGTGTCCTGGTATCCAACAAAACAATACTAATTGATTTGCAATCCCTTCCTCATTCGCTTGCACCATCGTGTGATGAGTTTATCCATTCTGACTTTATATTTCACCATTCGAAGTTGGGACACAAAGCGTCCTAAGCTCTATTCCGATACAGTGAATAGAGGCGATCTTCGGAAGCGATTTCCAGTGAGTTTCGTGCAAGCCGCTATTACTGTATTTCTCGATGGAAAATAGCTGTCTGTAGAATTCTTTTAAAAATTAATTGTAGATCAAAAGTGCAAATAAACCCTCCTCCTGCAATCGACCACAGGGAAATGATCATTGGTACGGTTATTTGCGTTCACGCGCCACTGCAATTTTAAGTCGATCTCAGATGATGCGATCGTAAGATCAATTACGAAGTTATAGCACCACTTCTAGGATTCAGTCGCTTGTATTTCCCAGAGTTTGGAGTGGTAAGGTTGTGTTGGGCTGTTATGTTTTCGATAATCGCTCCTTCTTTTGCATCCTTTTAACCAGAGGCTACAATTTTGTTTCCAATTGTTCGAATGCCATGTGGCATGGTTTATTATTTTTTTATTTGTTAATCTGCGTTTATTCATAGACATTTTTATGATACTGTATAATAAAAGATAGCGAGTCCAGTTCCTTTTTACTAGAACTGAAAGAAGCTAGAAGTGGGTTCAGGCCGGATAGACGATTTATGCTTAGCACGATGTCATTTGTTCGAAATCTCTACCCGAGTGAGATTTTTCTCTTGTGCAGCAATCACTGTCGGAAGATATTCAGTCATTATCTGCAGCTCTGTATTACGTTCCTTGGGGCCAACACATTTAATCAAACTGAAATGCAAAGTTTTAAAGGTTTTTTTTCTCATATTGCTTGACCAATTTTTCTCAAATAGCTTAGGCCCCAGTCTCGAATCTAGTCGCTGCTACCTCCAAATCAAATTTTCAGAGTTACCGCCGTACAAAAGGTTTTTTGTAACACCTTTAGATTTAATTTTCGGAGTGAGCCTCCAGGTTTGCAGACAAATTATTATTTTGGGCCATCCTACTACACAGTGGTGTTTAGGAGGAATAAATTGTTTGGCACTTTTACGAGCAGACCAAACAAATATTACAACAATGTTAGTTCCATTTCCTATCATCCTCTGTTCATGAACATCGCAGCGAATGTTAGAAGTTGACCTTGCAGACGATGATCTTTTTTAATTCCGTGTTCTGTATACACACTTAGATTTTTTACAGGATATTTGTTACTGGGTTTTTGAACTGCTGAAAAACTTGGTTAAAATTCAAATGAACGTTATTCGTAAAGATTCGAAAAAATCGAAAATTTTTATTTTTCATTATTTAAAGGAGTCTGTAAATTTTCGTGACACATTTTCTCAACTTTGAATTTTTCACAGATTTTTTAAATTTTACCGAACAGTTCCACAATTCAAAAACTGGATAATTGTATATGCTTTTACATACACAAGCAAGCATTTGCCGTTATTTTTATGTATAACATGGTAGAACGACGCACACACTTTCTTCGATTCTTTCCAGCAGAAAAAGCAAACGAAGTCGACTATGCGAGGAAATAAGAGCTTCTTGTTTCTTTTTAGCCTATCCTTATCCTGAATCGCAACGTTCGTGGTTCGAACCCCAAAGTCCGGTTTTTTTTCGTTATGATTAATTTCACTCACTAATACACTCCACATTTTTCTTTCTCCATTTTCTTGCATTGGACCGTAGCTCGGTATATCGCATCCTCCGTTAATGCGGTCTCCACTAACATCCTCCGATGATGAATCCCACATAATTGCATGCGAATCTTACATCCCCTGGTTGGGTGTAGATATTTTTGTGGCGCACATTTCTGCCGAAGAGACCAAGATGCTATCCCTTTTTGCTTTGAACAAATTATTTACGAAAAATCAATGTGTAATCAGGGGTCACCCTGAGGTACTAAACCAGTTAAATTCGTGAACAGTTTAATTAATTTAACGTGAGAACCACCCTAAGGTGTTGAACATGTAAAGAATAGCTACAATAAGTAATAATAAAAAAAAAACATTTCTGACGACACTGTTTACTTTCAACTACAGGGCAAACAATTTGGTTGCAGATTGTTGAAGTCACCATTTCACTCGATCCATGGCTGCACGTCGCCAGCCTCGTAGTCTATGAAGGCTCCACAAGTCACCTTCCACCTGGTCAATGCACCTGCCCATTGCGCACCTTTGTGTCTTGTTCCAGTCGGTCCATTACCCAAGAAATGCACGTTCATCATAATAAGTTGCTACAACTTGATTGTGACTGAAATAAGTTACATACAAGTAACCGCAATTTTTCAGCGACAAGTGTGCTGCTAGGATATCGAGAACCATTTTCACCGGGCTGTCGTCTGACATTGTTACGATTACAGTGTTCGGTAAATCATTCTCAAATCGCATTCATTGAGCCTCCGGTAGAGAATAAACTCGTGAACGAATCTGGCTAACAAATATCACGCTTGAGATTCTCATGCATTTTCACGCACTCACACTCACTACGCCAAAAAAAAACATTCCTGCTTGAAATAAATAGAAACAGCTCAAACGTCAATTGATAGCATGCTATGCATGTTGTGATCAAGGTTGCAAAGACTCATTTCAGCTAAAATAATGTTTTTCGGAATAATAAAACCAAAAGATGGTATGATGGCATGTTTTACTTGTAACTTACAAGAAGAGGTTACAAAGTATGCGTTGGAAACATAAAACCTGTAAATTTTGCTTTCTATGAGTCACAATCAGCGATTTGCTGATCGCTGAGTGAGTGAGTGAGTTTGTGAAAAATCGCTGACTGTGACTCTCATGAAGTGAAATAAACAGGTTTAATATGTCAAACACATTCTTTGCAACCTCTTCTTGTATCCTACCAATTCAAAATTTGATCATGGTATCTAATTATTTCATAATTTAGAAAAACATTGTTTTAGCTGAAATGAGTCTTTGCAACCTTGGTTGTGATAATAGTTTCCCATCCGCTGATGCAAAACAACAGTAATAACAGTGAATAACTCCAAAATATAAAACAATTAATTTTTGAATCTGAAAACTAATCGGTGATTTTTACGCTGATGAATTTTGCAGTTACGCTTCAGTTACGAAGTTCCCAGTCCACCATAGACGCCCGTTTTTTTGCGGTATGGAAGATGGGTGGTTCTTAGAGCAGCTGGTGCAATTCGCGGTTCATTTGCCTCCATCTGCATTCCAAACAATTTATTCCACGTAAATACAACTTCTGGACTACTGTGCCCTATTCTTAAACAAAAAAAAAAAAAATCAAAATAGCTGAAAATGTTTATATTTTTCAATTTTATCACACGGCAAATATTAAGCAAAGGATTATTATTTGATCATGCTGTGTTCATTTTTTGAAGCTTTTAATTTTGCATACACTTTTGTGGAAGCGTAGGAAAGGAAGCATCTTATCGTGAAGCTGTCATTTCAGCAGGTTGTCGTTTCTACAGAAATTCTTTCTGTTGAATACCAATATTAGCTCTCTTGCTTTGAATATTAGATTAATAAACGAGTTTTAATTGTGATACTGCAATATGAAAGGTGAAAATGAGCATATTATAGTACTTCAGTAAGCTCATCTTGAATCTGGAGGAGCGTAATTTAACCTAAAACATATTTTAAATAAGGTTCAAGTTCGTTGGTGTTTCAAGTCTTAACCGTCTGTCCGTTAGGAGTATAATGGCTGGCGATCGAGATTGTCGCATAATATTGAGATGTGATACATACTGTACATATTGTATAACGAGGTAGGTATAAAGAATACTAAATTGGAGGCATGAGTAAAGATCCAATTGTCCAATTTTTGGCACGGAAGTATTATGAGACATACATGTATCGTCAGTCGCGAAACGGTTAAGCGCAACGTTTAAATTAGTCCGATAAGCCACTATTGATGTCAGCTGACGACGTGCGTACGCTTCTCAGCTATGTGCACAGAATCAAAACTTCACGTAATCGCCATTGGTGAAATACTTTAGATTTCATTGGATATGAAGATATCGCTTTGAAAAATCTAACGAAAGTAATGGGTCAATGATTTTCATAAATAAAAGATACATATTTTAGCATTATCCAATAACGCATTTTCATATGAAAATCAATGGTTTTTACGTGTCATTTTCGTTCCGTGTGTACTGTGGTTGCTGCGGCGGGTGTGGTGCGATGATGGCTAAATTGCGCGATCACCAGTTTTCCCTCTTGAACATCGTCGGCTGTGCAGTTATCGTAACCGCATTTAAGACGAAAAAATTTATTTAACATCAATTCACATATTTTCCGTCTCAAGAGACTGCCCTTAAGTCGAAGGTGAACATCAGAGACATTCACTACAGTTTTCACAGACCGTGCGACGTAAAATTTTATAACTTTTTTTATAACCTTTTTTGTATTTCTTTGGTGATCGCTGCGCTGAACTGACGGTAAGCCGGGAGGAGTAGAACGAAGAACACGGATTTTTGATCAAAGTCTGCTGGTACTGGGATTCGGAAGAGGTGTTGATTGGCAGACAGCAGCGGCAGTAGTAGCGTAGCGGGAGTGCAACGATCAAAAAATTGCTCTCGTGCACGCTTGTGAGTGAGCACGCTGGCGTGGTGAAGAGCGTTTGTGGTGTATTTTGAAAAGTGCTCCCTCCTCATATTTGCGCGAACTCGTTCAACTGAACCAGTTGAGATTCGAACGCCGTACCGATTGGTTGTGAATTTTTGTACGCGAACGTTGAAAGAAGGGCGTGAGAAACGCTCATTCAGTGTGAATTATTCGTTTCCAATTTATTTAGCCTGGTAGTCAGTATAGTGGGACGATGGTGTAGGAAAGTGAATTTATTTTATTCATAGTGAAAAAAATATTTGCGAAAACATATTTAGTAGGCGTAAACCGAAACAAGGCTTTGAGAAGAGGTAACCGACGCCGACAAGGGTCATATCTGTGCAAAGTGTTTAAAGTGATAAACGAGTTGATCCTGAGTGGCAGTTCCCAAGGGTTGAGTGATTCCAAGTGAACGTGACTTTCGAGGATTACTTGCGGCTTTTTTTATTATCAGCGTGCCGCAAAAGATCGAAGGACGACGTGAGTTCAGCGCCAAGTCAAGTCGAAGCAACAGACACACTGAAGGAGGTAAGAGCTTCAATGTTGAGCCAGAGCGTAATGTTGTTTTGTTATCGGAGCGTTTTATGGGTTTTCCTTCTCCTGCGGCGCCTCACTTTGAGCATATGCGCGTGTGTATTGGTCGGTGGCATAAGGCGTCATGCCACACATCCGACAAGCGGCAAAACGGAAAGCTGAGAATTCAATTAAACATACAGTGACCGTGAAATTGGTAATTGATTGTGCATGGATTTACGAGCTGCCCTGTGCATCTTCAATGTATCATTAATCTAATCAACATCATTACTGAGCATCATCATTATTTTAAGACAATCATATTGAAAAAGTTTTATCTAATTTCATGTTAATTCGCTGAGCTTCACCCATTAAAAAATAGCATAAACAGCAAATATTGTTGGACGTTTATTATACCTTTACGCAACTAATTAACAGTTAATTGAGTTTGTTTTATTATATAGATTTTCAGCCAATGCACAGTGGTCCAGGATTGGAATTTAGCAGAAATAGTAGTCCTATAGCTTAATCTGTAATATTTAGACGTTTAGTGTCTTTGGTAAAGTTTTTGTGCTTGAAAAGTCCCTTCTTTTGGTGATTGTAAATGATTGATTTTCAAAAACTAACTTGATAATTTTTGAAAATAAAAAAAAAAATTAGCTCAGTTAATTTCAAGCAACTTTGAAAGAAACATATAGTGCAGAAATGAACTAGGGTGTACTTGAAAAATGTAGTTTTTTTAGCTTTAGATCGTATGTTACAAATTTCTCGTGAAATTAGTCTTCATGTAACTTTTAGAACTTGCTAAATTCTCATTTTTGCCGAATTAATTGATATCTCCTTAAGATCACGCGATATTCACAATTTTCTTTATAAATACACCCTTTTCAAATGTTAATTACTCAGCATGACAAACACATATCAAATTTTATTAAAATTGTTGTGCACTTATAATTAATAAATAGTATTAATTTTCTACTCTCAAACAAACTAAAATAATCACTACATTGTTGTAAACTTACATCAGATGAAAAATATTCTTGCGCAAAAATGTCGGAAATTAATACTAGGTTGAAAATTAGGCCACTTATCCTATAGGCTGATAAAGGAAATAACTAATTTTACATGTGATGAAATCCATTTTTGACTAAAGGATGGGACGAAACAAACATGTCATGTAAAATTCAATGGTCCGAGACTGACAAGTCCGTTACACGACGTAAAGTAAGTTTGATTGAGCTCAATTTTGCTTCTGTTATGACTCAATGTTATGTATTAATTGAGTCTCGTATATGTCAATCTCAGAGCACCTAAATTTACATGATTGTTTCTAGTGTGTTGTATTCAATATTCTAACAATGTGTATTATTTTAAACTTAGCCAGTCTTCTTGATATCCGGAGTGATTTGAGATTTGGGCGTAATTACATTTGTAAACAAATACGTTAATTTCCGATTTCTCTTGAATAAAACCTCAATCTCATAAACAAAATATACCAAATGACAGACGAATCAATCCTCTACCTCATAGTGTTATTAGTTTTTAAGATTGAGCGTTTATTCGCTAGAAATTGGCGATTGACGTGTTTGTTTACAAATGCAATTACTCCCAAATCTCAAATCACTCCGGATATGTTGTCTTCGCTATTATGCATGTAGTGTTAATTTTCCCTTCACTGATGCAAAAACAACAGTAATAACAATGATTACCGCCAAAATATAAAGCAAACTCAACGGTGAAATTATATCCGAATAAACTTACGCATAAAGTTTGAGTTTTTGAGTTTTTCCGAAACTTTTTGTAAGGTTTTCTAAGTTGTTTTATTTTTGTTGTATACTGGAATATATGCACAAAGGGGCAACGGTTGAAATTCGTTAAATGATGTTTAAACGTTTTGGGAAGTATTTAAACATTGGCATTAAATTATGCTATATTTTTTCAAAATCTAATCATTTCCTTAACAGACGTAAACAAAATGATCAGTGGTCAATATTTCTTAGAAAATAAGTTCCTTGTATTCAATGTCAACTAGTTGATAGATAATGGTCACACTATTTTAATGTTTTAGTTTATTTTATAAAAAAATATAAAATGTGAGTATTTTTGTACTTTTTCTTTGTAAAAAAGTTGTTCTGCGTGATTTAATCATAAAATAATTAATCTTCAAGTTGGCATGAACACATTAGTGGTCAGAACTCATCCGGATTCTTCCGCGTTGGCGTTTGTGAGTCTTTTGAAACCCGTATTTTCACATCAGTTTAGGGCAAATCTTCATCAATATTTGTGTTGTTGTGTTTTTTTTTCAATTTGACTCAAAATCAATAACTATTTTTTACATTGTTTCCATTGATCATATCACTCAAAACAGCAGTAAATAATATTGGCCAGGTTTTTGCACAGTTACTATGGTGTGCGCTAGTTCATCTCCGGACAGAACACTGAATGAGAATTCATCTATCATAGCACATAATATGAGTATTTTTATCAAAATTTATATAAGTACGAAGGGTTAGATCTCACCAGGTACATTAATTCAGGTGTGACATTGGTGCATCGATCTACCTAGGGGAAACGCATGTTATGTCGGCCTTAATGCCCTCAATTTGCTTTATGGGCGCAATCGACTAAATTTTCAATAGCGTCCAAAAATATCCATTAGAACCGTCCCAATGACACGTTCATCTAGATAAAATTGATCAATAGCAGATTTTCAGCGATGGGCCCAATCTTAGATCCATAGGCCAACAGTAGAGCCATTTCCCCTATATACAATTTTTATACGATGTTCTCTTTTATTAATAAATCGATGTCTTTGTTTCTGAAGCTCCCGTTATTGATACACATGTCCAACCTGTTTTTCACAGTCTGCATTCGTTTCACATATTGAATGAAAATCTGGTTCATTAACAACACCAAACATCAGTTGATATTTCAAGCTATTTTGATTTATGTCACGGTCCTAGAGGAAATCTCGCTACCTCACTTGTGCCGGTTTACCTTCTCAGCCCGAGTTGGTGTTGTAGTCCGCGATGGGAATGCATAATAAATTTAAATTCTGGTGAAAATTCTCTGATCCATTGATATTTTTAGAAGTAATATTTAATCTCGTTGTTGGGATTCCGCTTAGCTCAGTCAGTAAATTGCACATCTTCAAAGCAAGATCATGCGGGTGGTGGCGGGTTCGATTCCCGGATCGATCGAGGAAATTTTGAGGTTGGAAATTTTTTCGACTTCCCTCGGCATAGATTATGTTTATATTATTATGCGACACAATATACGAAGTATGAATGGTACATGCTTAGAAACAATTATGGAAGTGCTCAAAGAGCAGCATAACATTCCCACTGGGACGTAAATATAAGCCAAGAAGAAGAAGATTTAATCCCATATTTGTCTATAAAGTGGAACAAGCCGTTTAAGCCATAAAACTATCGGTGAAAATTTGCATCATGCTGTGCGTTTTCTAGTCTTATCAAATGCATAAGTGATGAATTTAAAAATCCTAAAATGTGTGTGACTTATCATTGACAAGTGATATAAACTTGAGGGCGGACTGCAAGCACATAGTAGGTACGAAATGCGATAAGAGGTTCACCAGCGGTGAACATTCTTTTTCCTGTGCATTCCCTCTTGGTGGTGGTGGCATGACTATTTGCTCATCGTTTTATAGCTTGTTTATTTTCCAATCTTTTTGCTTCTATTTTATTATGAGAGGATGATGCCGCCAACGGGTGAGTCGAGTGGGCTTAAACAGACCACAACAAGCACCACCGCTGTCTATATGTCACGTATGGCTGGGAATACGATTGGGGAAAGGAGGAAGCGAAATACTAGAAATCCCAAACGAGAAATGATTATTGAGTAAACTGGAAGTGAGCGTCTGTTTTCTATTTTCCTTCATCTACTATAGAGCGAGAGGAAAATACATACATTATAGTCAATGTTGCCGATTATAGTAGATTTTTGCTATGACGTTAGTTGAAAGGAAATAAGATATTTTAGTAGCTGTCTGCTAGGTATTGGGAAGGCACCTGTTGTAGATTACTCATTGGATTTGAAATATTCTCTCTATAACGTTCAGAATAGTGTTCATAGTGACAACAGTCTGACAACTTATTGACTACGTTGCTCAAATACTTGTTAACTCTTCGAGCATCAAACCTAAAACACCCTTTTTACTATTTTTGGAATATCTTCCGTAAGTTTTAACGGATGTTTGATGTTTTCAGCTTGTTCCAAAGCATATTAACTTGCCTTTTACATATATGAGGGCTGTATCGAAAATAAGTTGTAAAAATGTTTTTCTTTACAAATCCATTAAAAAATATTTTATAATTAAAAAAGGTTCTTTAATAATGTATTTCATGTCCTTCTCAAGAAGTTAACTTCACATATACAAATTAAAATCTCTTAGGTACTTTTATGATCTAAGATTTTGATCGCCTTATAAATTTTGGTCGTCTTATAAATTATTGGCAGTGTGACAAAACAGGTTTTAAGCACTTTTTGTACACATCGTACAATATTTTTAAAACTTGTTGCATGACCCTAGTAGCTTTAGCATCCATGGAAAAGGTTGTGAAGAAAACACAACAATTTCCAATTGTTTTGGCCTAATTTGCAGTCAATTCTGTACTTCATTTTTTCTGAAAAATGGATAAAATGAAAAATTTTGATTTTCGCCGAGTGCTACCCAATTAAACTTGTTCGCAACTACAACCTATTGAATGCCGATTGCTTATGCTGAATGGCAATTGTAAATAGTATCTTCAAAAGGATATTAAAAGGTCTAAAACCTTGAAATAGTCAAATATGTACTGTACCGATGCGTTAAAAAAACCCAAAAATGCATTGTTCAAAACGTCATAAGATTAACTAAATCTAACATGATACCAGTCCTTTAAAGGATATGTTTTAGTTTGTTTTACTTTGTTAAGTTTGAAAGAAGGACATGACACACATGATAGATTACCCTTTTTTTTATTAAATCATATCTTTTTTACGGATTTTGTTTA